AAAAGTCTACAAATGGTCTAAAAACTGCCTAGCCAATTTTTTTTAGTTTGGAACTATTTTTGTACTGCGGGTAGCACGGAAGTTGGGGAGTCCTACTGTGTCACGACTCGGAGTATGGCGTGATCTGGAAATCCAAAACAAAGCAACAAATACTGGACTCAGACTAGGACTGGTGGCAGAGATGAATCTGGTGGAAACTCGGACTAGTGGCGGATATATGTAGGGTGGTGGAACTCGGACTGGTGGTGAATCGGTGATGGAGGTGGACTCGGATTATCGTGATGGCGGTGGATATGTGGTATATGGCAGTGGTGATGACGATGGTGGTATATGGCAGTGGTGATGACGATGGTGGTATATGGCAGCAGTGACGATGATGGTGGTATATGGTAGTGGTGATGATGATGATGCGGCGACGGCGTGACAAATTGTGAACAGAACTCGAAACTCTAAAGGACTAGACACTAAGACCAGCAACTAGACACGACGATGCAACCGCAAATTCAACAATGCAAAACCCTAAAAAGATTATGCAAAGGCTCAGATTGGTTCGGATATAATGAACTAACCCTAATTTTTTTTTGTTGGCTTTTTCGTGGACTGTAGGTATGAAGAACAGACTCAATCTAAACTAGAAAAACTGTAAAATCTCACCGAGCAACCTGAAAATCTGATACCAATTGATAGAGGCGAAGGTGTCCCGATGTTTCGATGAGATGGTGGCTATCGTGTTCTGTGGGAGTCGACCTTGACAATCCGAGTATGAACGTGCGAGACGTCGCACCTTAGCAATCGCTAAACCAACTTCCGAGGGGTTATTGACCATGCCGGAGCACGAACAACCTGACAACGAGGGTCTGTTTCCTGCGAGCAAACGAAGAACAAGCAAGAAACCGAGATTGCAATCTGGATATTGCAAATATAAGATGAAAGCTTTATTGATCAAGGTGGGGTTCTGTGACATCTTGGTCTGGTCGTTGAACACAAACGAAGTACGTGAAGTTGCAGCTACGGCAAACTTTTAATCTAAACAAAACCCAAAATCTAAACGATGCCCTAAGGGTTGTATATATGGAGGAGAGAGGGGGGAATTTCATGGCCCTTTGAGGAGGGATCCGAAACCAACCCTAAATCTTGTTTCCCCACACATACGGACTCTAAAAACAGCCTATAATCAAGTATTTCGAAATTACATGGGCCAGGCCCAAAAAATAAGGTGATGCATCACCTAGTATAGCCTATGGACGAAAATTATATAGTGGCATCCTGTATATTTCTTCCAAGGCTTCATGCACTCATTATGGTGGCTTCAAAGTCCTGGAATCATCACTTGTAACTCCGTTCTTGTTCCCCTTGCGCACGCCATCATCTCCATGCTTGAAATTGCTCCAAGGTTCATCTTTCTTGTCCAAGCTAGGCCCTTCATTTGTAAGCAAAACAAATGTATCCAATTTAGGCAGCATCATATTCTCATGAACATTAGAATCGTTACCAAGAAACGAAAGTACCTGGTAATTTAATTGGCGTGCGCGAGCTCTAATAATTGGTCCAGTATATATAGCAGCAGGGGTTGTGGGTGTAACAATGGTATTGATGTCCTCATCACGCCCCCGTCGCCTCACCTCACCGACCGCCCCGCCGCTCGACATCGCCGACACCAACTCATCGTCGACCCAGCGTCGCCCCGTCGTCCCCTGCGCCGCTTGTCGCTCGCCATCCCCGACCTCCTCCTCGGCTTGCTTCTTCGCGCCTCCTCGCCCCCGTGCCCCTGCAACGCGGGTGAGGAACCCCACCGGCCTCCTCTTCCCTCTGCCATTGTGCTTGTCGTTGCCCGCGCGCCTGTGCCACGCCTAGCTGCGCCCCGTGCGCCCCATACGCGCCCCGACCCCGAGCCCACACCGCGTCACCGCCCGCCTCCGCTGCATGCTCACACGCTGGCAGCCGCCCTTGCCCAGCTCCGTCGCCCCTGCCCCGCGTGGCCTCGCCCCCCTCCCTGCCGGCACCGTCCCTGTCGGCGCCCCTCTTGGTGCCACGGCACACGCACCCGCCTACCCGTTGCGCCCGCACCCGTTTCGCCCTATGGGCCAATGACAACTCGCCCCCACCCTTGTAAACAGAAAACGTTTTTTCTTAAAAGAAAATTGAAATTAAAAATATATTAATTAATTAATTAGTGATATAATTAACTTAATTAATTTTAATTAACTAAACTTAGTTAACTTAATTAAGTAACTAAACTATTTAGTTGTTTGACATGATGGGTATTCCGTAGATATGGCAAAGGTCAGTGCATCGAGCATTGCTTGACATCACATGCTTGAAGAGGCCGATGTTGCATATGACTCCGACAACGTACAATTCACGACCTCGTTGACGGTGGCGATTCCCTCCATGGAAGAATTTGCAGACCGGATGTCGAGCACCATGTGTGCACAATAATCCGGCACGTCGAACATCGCCGATGTCGGTCGTGGCGCATCATGGAAAATCTGGTTGGCGAGCTTCACGTCCGACAACGCAGGCGAGGAGTCCTTGGCGAGACACTAGTCGCAGTCTTCGACCTCACTAAACATGCCCAAGGACTCTTCTATTTTTCCAGCCGACTGAACAATTCCATAGCCGGATCATCCTCTTGGCTGAAAACATGCAACACCGAGTTGAACCTATCTTCCTCTACCTTGAACGGACCCATGGTGGAAGAGAAAGGGCGTCGGTTGAGAATTTTTGTTCATCAAATGTTTCTCTTCTCTAGAGAAGGCTTCGATCAGGTAGAGAAAGATGGTGGGTACGCTCTTAAAGAGGAAATACTAAAAATGGGATTGCATGGGATACATTTTCCTAACTAACGATGGGCCTTTTTTCCTAACAAATGCATTAATTGAGTGATTCGCTTCATTTAGCGTCACGAGGATAACTTACCATGTATATGTGGTGGTGGAGGGGTAAAAGAGGGATTATATGTCCTTACATTGTGAAATTTTAGTAAAAAAATGCACCTAAGACAAAAGGAACGTAGGGAGTATAAATGAAGATCACAATGGCAATAAAGATAATGATGATAAACATCTGCCAAGTGATATACCAACAACTGTCTCTCCAACTTTGCTCTGCAAAAGATTGTGCTAATTTTATGATACTTTTTCTCAAGAATGGCACTGACTCAAGCTTTCAAACGCAAAAAGAATCACTCAATTCTTATTTGGTATGAGCGGTCAAAAAATTCTAAAGTTGGACTGAAAAATCGGAACAAGCTGCGTTCGCGAACTTCGGAGGGCAAAAACACGTATTTAGAAAACGATTTTGAGGTGTCAAATATTGAACTAGCTTCTGCAACTATTCAGATGTGTCTCATCGCTAACTTTAATTTGAGTACTCGCGGAGCCAAAGCGGACTTCGTATGAGGAAGATATGCATGTTTTACTGAACAATGCACAAAACAGTTTCCAATCCGAATTCAGCTACGAGATTGAGTCTAGATAGATCCGAATTTTGTTTTTTTTCTTCTCTCTTTTTTTCTCACACTTTTTTCTTTTTCTTTATATCCTTTTTGCTTTGACTTTTTTCTCTCTTTTTTGTCTTTTTTTCTCTCTCCCTCTCTCCAAAACAAACTGGATAAGATGCAGATTGGATCAAGCAAAGATGTGAACGACCTCAACTATGATTATGACAATGAATGGTGGGTAGCACGTGGTGGAAATTGATGGAAGTGGTGGTGGACAACGAAAGGGATAATGATGCAGCGGCGGCATGGCTAATGTGAATAGAACTCGAAACTCTAAACGAACTAGACACTAAGACCAGCAACTCGACACGATGATGCAACCGATAATTCAATATGCAAGCAATGAAAATAAAATTGCAAAGGCTCAGACCGGGTTGGACGAAGGATGAACAAATCTAACTTTTGTTATGGCTTTTTCTTGGAGAATAGGTAAGAAAATAAATCTAATCTATGGATAATTGGAAATTCTCACTGAGTAACTTGAAAACTGATACCACTTGATAGAGGCAAAGGTGTTTTGTCTTTCGATGAGAAGGTGGTTGTTGTTGTCTGTGGGAGTACACTTTGGCAATCCGAGTACGAACATGCGAGACGTCGCGCCTTAGCAATCGCTAAACCAACTTCCGAGGGTTGTTGACCACGCTGGAGCACGATCAACCTGACCACGAGGGTCTATTTCCTGTGATCAAACGAAGAACAAGCAAGAAACTGAGATTGCAATCTCGATATTGCGAATATAAGAGGAAAGCTTTATTGATGAAAGTGGGGTTCTGTGACGTCTTGGTCTGTTCGTTGAACACAAACGAAGTACGTGAAGTTGCTGCTATGATGAACTCAGTGGCGAATCTAGAGAAAAAACAGAGGGTGGGCTCAAAGTTTAAGCCGAGAAAATCGAACGCTCTTTTGAAGAAAAAGCTGCTTATCTCCTAGTCCTTTTGTATAAATAAACTGAAACTTTCCCAGATTAATACTGGAAACACGCACTATATACTAGAATTTTTTTGGATTTTTTTAGAAAATATCAAATTTTGAACCAATTTTTGAATCAGGTGACTAAAATGGACATTATCTCCTAATCCTCTTGGCCAAATAAGCTCAAAATTTCCCAGCCTACTACTGGAAGCATGTAGTATTTACTGATTTTTTCTGGAATTTTAAAAGAAAAATGGTTTTACCAATTTATAGAGACAATATGTGCCAAACAGTGCTCAAATGGACATGATTCTCAAGACAAATACTAGTAGGATGATTGACCAACAACAAAGTTTCATACAATCTGCACACCAATACATCAAGTACTAGAGAATCAACCAAAATAAGGCAAAGACAAGATACTGGTGTTGCTTCTTACTAACAATATTGTAGTTGTAGAACTCCTCCACACCAAAATGCAAGTGACAAACTGCAAGCCATCTGTCCAAATTGGCACAAATGTTAGTGATATGGTAAAGTACCCTCAACTAACTATCGACACTAGTACTAAAACAGAGATATACCTCTAAGAAATAACATCATACTCAGGAGGCAAATGTCCTTTGCGATTTTTCTTTTTCTGAAATCGTATCATAATTTGATCATCTGGAATACTTTTGAATATCCTTTTCTCACAGTAGCATACCATTAAATCATTGAGCCAATCATCTGATATCTTATTGCGCAAATTGGTTTTGATGACCTTCATTGCTGAAAATATTCGCTCGACCGACGAAGTTGCCACTGGAAGAATCAATGTCAACTCGATAAGGCGATATACCAATTGGAAAGTTCTATGTTTCATTGTTTGAACCATCAAACGAGCAAGAGTAGAAATATCCGGACATCCATTAAATTCCTCACTTCTCCTATTATTTGTAAGGAATGTTGGAAGCTCGTATCTTAGCAACAACCATTCAGCTTGTGTAAAATCTTCAACATAAATTTCAGCAAGCCGAATAAGTTTCTCATCATTAAACTTTGAGAAGTTGTTAGCTGGATTAAGACAAGACATGCAATCCACTAACTCGGTGTTAACTTCATTGAATCGGTGGTTCATCTCAGTGAGAGTTGCATCAATCGCAACACTGAATGTGCTCACCCTGAAATAATGATCTCGAGTCACCTTATTCTTGCTTCGAGCAGATTGCCCCATAGCTCCAACAAGATCATCCATATTTGGCACGTCAATGCCATGTTCCTCACAAAAGTTTTTTGCTTGCTCGCATAATGGCTCATACCCATTGCCCCTCATAGTTTGCAAAGCTTCTTTCACATCCAAGATCAAATGCATGGCTTCAACAACATCTTGATTCTTCCTTTGCAAAGCTTGTGATAGCATATTTGTGATGTTCAACAAGTTTATTAAGAATATCATGATGAACACAAATTGGAAGCATTCCATCTGTACCAACAAACCTGAAGCTCCACATTGAGAAGTGTGTTCCCGGGCATCCTCAATCACAATTGCAAGCACATCAACCACTGCATTCCACATTGTGTAAACACGAAGCAAGGTTCTAAGATGTGAGCCCCAACGAGTAGCTCCTGGTCTAGCTAGGTTAGTTTCTTGATGTAAACCAGTTCCAGATGATATCTTACCATTCTCCATCATCTCTATCAAGTCATCTTGATGCTTTGCAAGCAATGCATCTTTTCTTTTGCAGGATGAACCCACCTGAGTCACTATCAAGGGAAGAAAGTTGAAAAAATCAGCAATAACCGGACAACATTGAGCCACTGTGACAACCACTAGTTGCAACTGATGGGCAAAACAGTGAACATAGAAAGCATATGGACTCTCATCACGAATTAGCTTTTGCAAACCATTGAATTCTCCTCTCATATTTGAAGCCCCATCATAACGCTGTCCATGTAGCCTATTAATAGACAAGCCATGGTACTTTAAGACATGAAACGATGCTTCTTTAATTCCGGCAGATGTGCAATCTGTGATGTGCTTAATAGCAAGAAATCTCTCCTGAAGCTCCCCATTATCATCCAAAAATCTGCACATTTGGAGAGCTACAAGTTATAAGAAAAGAAACAAATAACAACATAAAATAAAAGAATTAGCCTTTGTAAACCATTGAACTACCTCAAAATTATTGCCATTTGCTCCTTTATTGAGCAATCTCTAGCCTCATCAACAAGTATCGCAAAATTCTTATCTCCAAGCTCATTCTTGATGACTTTGGTTACCTCCAAAGCACAACATGTAGCAAGGTCCTTTTGAATCTGTGAACATATCATAAGTGCATTACCTTACCCATTGTCAAATGCATCTTTCACATCTTTGTTCTTGTCTTTGTACCAATCCAAGAACTCCCTGAAATTGCCTTTGTTTACGGAATCGGAGGACTCATCATGTCCACGAAAAGCTTCCCCTTGAGCTATGAGATACCTTGCACAATCTAATGATGTGGTCAAACAGATTTTATATTTTATTCCAGATTCTTTAGTATGTGCTCGAAATTTGGTAGCCACATTGGCCCTTTGATTCTTGAAATCATCACACAAGCCTCTAGCAATGTTGTGGTAACTAGATGGACCACCAACATGTTTTTGAAAACTTGCCAAAGCTGTTTTCCAGTGTTTGTAACCATCTATGGTAAATACATCATTTCCAAATGTAGTAGTCTGTGATGGTTTCTTGAAAAGAAAACAAGGGAAGCAAAAGGCAGCCTCCTTTGCGACACTATATTCCAACCAATCAAACCTATCTAGCCATTGTGGTTGAAAAGATCTCCAAATTTTACCATCCAATGTGACTTCAAATTTATGCCCACTTGCTTTGTTTCGCTCTTTCAACAAATAAGCTCTTCTCACTTCACTTCGAATTTCAGGGGCATAATCTTCTATTGGTATTCGATCCGCCGGATCACCAAAAATCTGACTTGGATGAAATTCTACTATATATTGTGTTAGTGGTGCTGGTTGGTTTGTGCTCTCATCGATTGGGGGATTGGTTCTCTCATTTGAAGTGGGATTGATGCTCATTTGAAGTGGGATTGGTGCTCTCATCAACCGAGGGATTAGTGCTCTCATCAACCGAGGGATTAGTGCTCTCATTTGTTGGATCATCGGGGATTATGTTCTCTATGAGGGTAGGCTGAACAATAACATTAATTGGGGCAACATTGGATTCAGGAGCAATAGGAAGTGTATTTGAACTACTTGCAAACCAACTATGCAGAGTCCTCTTTCTCTTCATTTCTATAAAAAAAATAAACAAAGACATAAATTAGTTCATGAATTAATTGTTACTAGAACCAGTACTGACTAAAACCAAACTATGTACTAACTAGAATTAACTAAACTAGCAACTGCCATCAACTAAACTAAGAAGAATCAAACAGAGTCAGACAGAGACAACAAATAACCTATTTCGAACTGCTCTGGACCAGGACTCTGGTGTCCGGCGTCCGAGAGGCGTCCGGCCGGTTGTCAGAATCGCGATTCTGTTATACGATTCTACGACTTTACGATCCAAACTAACCCCTATGATTCTATGATTTTAGTTCATAGAATCTACGTTTCTATGATCCTGATAGTGAAGATTCTACGATTTGCGATCTTACCATCGGAGCTCCGATCCGATTCAAAATCGCGATTCTAACAACCTACTCCGGCGTCCAGTGGGGATTCGGCGGCTCCGGCGACCTGCAGAGAGCCCTAGGCGTCATGGGCGACGAGCTCCCCGGCAGGCGCAGCCCGACTCCCCCCGTGGTCCCGTCCCTCGTGCAGGCTCGAGCGCTCAGCTGATGATGGCGTCCGGCGGGGAGGCGGCGCTCGGCGAGGGTGCAGCGACGGCGAGGAGGCGGGGAGGCGGCGCCGGACTAGGAGGTGGCGTCTGGCGGCCGGTGGCTAGGTTATTGGGTGGCCGCCAGTGCTGGTGGCCGCTGCTCGTGCGCCTGATGTGCTTCGTGCGCGTCCGAGCGTGCGGGAGGCTGGGTTAGTCACTGATTCTTAGATGGGCTGCCTGCTGGACCGTTTTTTCTGGGCTGGGCCTAAGAAATATTTTGAAGCCTAGTAGTAAAAAAATTCCGCGAATTTGGAGGGTAGGCTCAAGCCTATCGAAGCCTGCCTGGTGAACTCGCCGCTCGATGAACTTTAATCTAAACAAAACCCAGGTAAAAAGCTTCTAGATTGATCTACTTATATAGGGGCAAGGGGTGGCAACCAAGGAGGTGGGAGGACGTCCCTGTTGACGCTCCAAAATGGCATGATTATAAAGAGTGACTTGAGGCCATAATGATATGATGTTAAAATTATGAGTTCGTGTCACCATTTGCTGGCTCTTTTCAAGATGATCAAAATAGATATGGAGATGGTCCAAAACGGAGCTCAGATACGAAAGTTATGACAATCTTAGAGATGCTCGTATTGACACCAAATTAAAGAATGGCATGAAACCTAATTAATATGACCTTGGATGAAAAAACTTTCAACTGCGAAGTTCTTCGTCTTGTCGAAACGGACGATTTTGATATAAAAATCATCCCCATTAAAGGTCATATGCAAAAGTTACAGCAAAACCGTGCGCTGCAGCAATGTTTGGCTGAATCATCCGGGCCGGGGCCGGATCATCCGGGAAATTGAAGCACCAAGATGCCATAAGTTTTTTGATGAAGCCGGATGATCTGGATCCAGTCCCGGATGATCCAAATGGAGGCCGGACAATCCGGGAAGGAATCCGGACGTCTGGACAACTTTTTCTGCTATAGATTTTAGAACGGCTATAAACACCATCAAGATGGCCTCAGATTGAAACATTTTCAACATGAAAGTTGTGCGTCTCGCCGAGCCGGTTGATTTTCATATAAAAATCGTCCAAATCCAAGGCTGTATGTGGATTCTAGAGCCAAACAGTAAGGTGCTGTCAAAAAACTGGGCTAGGACGGATCATCCGGGCCTTGAGCCGGACATCCGGGCCGGAGGTCGTGAATAGTCCGCGTTTGTTAGGTTTTGATGATTTAGATGGCTAGGCAAGTCCTTTTCTTGTACGAGAAGTCCACCCGCCTCTTATATAGACAAGAGGTGACGGCCAATTGAACAACAACACGCAATCGCAAACGCATCTACAACTTTTTCATCTATGTTTTGTCTCTCCCTCGTTCTTGCTCCCTCGTTCTTCGTCGTTCTTCATGTTGGAGAGCTGCGAATACCAAGGCTCTAGGGGCGGCTTGACCGACCTAGGGCATCCCATAGCCACCGCACTCCTCGACGGGGTCCCTACCGGGAGTGTAGGGTTTTGGGTCTTCAAAAGCTCTTGCCGGTCGACTTGCAAATCGCGCTTCCAGTGAGACTCCTTTGACGTGAGCTACGGTGCATCACCCTGGGCGTCGAGCATACATGTGACGTGTTCGTGTGCGAGCAGTCCCAAGGCAGCCTAAAACTAACCATAGGTCGTACAAGGCTCGTGGGTCCAAGTGGAGGTGATACAACAACTTTGGACTTATAGTTTGACTTGGATTCTGCTGCAGCCTCAGATTGTTTCGTCAATATCTCAACACTTCGGACGAATTTGATGCTGGATCCAATTGGGTTAGAAAAAGCACAAAATCTACTTTCCAACAAAAAAGTAATCACCCAATTCGGAGTCCGGATGAAATAAATCTTGGCATTTTGAGTTAGGTATGTCTATACAGTCCGAATCTGAGTTCAGAACGTGAGAGACTTGGACTCTATCTCCTCTTGGCCCAAAAGTGACATGATAGAACTTTTTGAACAACACCTAAACTTCTTTTTCCCCCTTGTCTTCATACGTGGATTGTACAAATGTCTCATACACCTGCAATTAGACATGGCACAAAAGTCTATGAAGTATTTTTGTCCTGGATAACATAATTAAATTATTGCATAGTTTGCATTAGAAATCACCTCACAAATATGGATTTATGCAATATTTTTGATATTATCAAAGGTAGTCATATCCTCATCAAATTTTAAAAACAAAATTCATGATCTAAAAAAAGTTCATCGGTTTTGAAAAAGAGTTCGTCGATTTTGAAAAAAGTTCATCGATTTGGGAAAAGTTCATCGATCTTGAAAAGAGTTCATCGATTTTGAAAAAAAATCATCAGTTTTGAAAAAGAGTTCATCAATTTTGAAAAGAGTTCATCGAGTTTGAAAAAAGTTCATCCATTTGGAAAAAGAGTTCACCGATTTTGAAAAAGAGTTCATCGATTTCGAAAATGTTCATCGGATTTGAAAAAGAGTTCATTGATTTTGAAAAGAGTTTATCGATTTTTTTAAAAATTCACTTGGTTTTGGAAAAAAGTTCATCAATTTTAAGAAAAGTTCATCAATTTGGAAGAAAAAGTTCATCAATTTTGAAGAAGAGTTCATCGATTTTGAATGTTCATCGGCTTTGAAAAAGAGTTCATCGATTTTGAAAAAAGTTCATCGGTTTTGAAAAAAATTCATCGATTTTGAAAACAGTTCATAGGTTTTGAAAAGACTTGATCGATTTTGAAAAAAGTTCATCGATTTGGAAAAAACAAGTTCATCGATTTTGAAAAATGTTCATTAAATTTTGAAAAAAGTTCATTCAACTTGGCAAAAGTAAAAAAACGAACCAAACCATTCCAGTAAAAAAGGAACAAGAAATAAAGAAAGATAAAAGAAGAAAGATGAAAAGAAGGGAAAATATGGAACTGATCACATGATGTGTGGGTGGCGTGGTGGTTAGTGCGGCTTAAGTAAGAGCGGGAGGTCTCAAGTTCGAAATCTACCTGAGACCTCAGGCCGGCCCCCCGCCTCCCCGCGTCGCCAACATCTGGTGACACGGGGAAAACCCTAGCCGCCACCGCTGTCACAGGAAGCCACCCTCGCCGCCCTCCCCTGCATCGCCGCCGCTGGAGGGACGATCGACGAAGTTGCACCAGCCCCTAGGATGGCGGCGGCGGGGCGGATCTGGCCCCTCGCACTCTCCCTCGCCACCATCTCGCTCGACCTGCCTTGCCCGTCCCACCTCGCTTCGTCCCGCGGCTCTCCCGTTCGATGCCTCCGGTTATTTCGGCGTGGGCTGCGTCATGCCCTAGCCGTGCCGCGAGGCTGGATCCGACCTCTCCTCGTCGGCCGCCCCTCGGCGCGACTCCGGGCCCCCGCGTGCGGCATCGGGCTCGCTCCTTGCGCGGCCTTCCTTTGGACGCGCGTGGCTGCGGCTCCCCGTGTGGGCTGCCCCTCGCTGGCTGGTCTAGGCTGCCCTCTGGCCGCGGCGCCCCACCCCCACCCGCATCGTCCACCCCCGAGCTCCATTGATGGCAGCGACATGGCGTCCGTCAAAGTGTGCCAGCCGGATTGCGCGACGGCCGTGTTGTTCTCCATGGCGGCCCTCTTCCCCCTCGCGACTGTGTTCTGGCTTTGATCCCTGGCAGCCATGAACCTGCGTCCCCTTCCTGTGTTCCTGGCTGCCCGTGGTCGACGCTAGCACGGCTCTGGACCCGACATGTTCCTGGAGCTGCATTCCTCTTCCAGCTTCTTGGGCTTGCCGGGGTCCCGGTGGTTTTGGCCCCGGTGGCCCGGATCTGCGCTCATCTCCGGATCTTGGGCCATCCGCGTTGCTGGCCACCGTTGCATCCCCTTCGTCTTCGCCGCCGAATTCCCCTCCGCCCGGTCGCCCAACCCAACTCAACTCTTCGTGTTGCTCTTACTCCTGCCGGATTTGTAGCTCGCTCTCCCAGTGACGTCCGATACCGGCTTCGGCAACGGGTGTTGCTCCCCTCCCTGTGATTGGCGACTTCGACATGTGTTTCAACTTCCTCCACTTTGCCCCAGCGGCTTGAGATTGCTCAGACAAAGACCAGGGCGAAATCCCTGCTCGGCTTGCTGGTGCTGGTAGCGGCGACACCCGCGAGTGCTGTCCCCTTCTTGGAGGCGCTGCCATGGTCTCCGTCTTAGCCCCTCTTCAAGCATCAGGGGAAACCCTAGGCCTGGGCTTCTGGACCGGACGACGACGACGTCTTGGCGCTGTTCTCCTTCTTGAAGGCGTCGTCTTGCTCGCTCGCGGCGTCCTCGACGGTGGAGTTGGACGCTGGTTGTCTTCACTGTGTTCGAGTTGCTTCTCAGGGCTAGGAGAGTTTGTCGTGTTGTTCTTTTCCTTTCTTTGGGCTGAGCACCCCATGTCCCTCTGCTTCGGGCACCATGTCGTCTGTGCACGTGTTGTTCACACCCTGTATTCAATCTTCTTCTTCTTCTATCAATGAATGATACGCAAGCTTTGTGTATTTGCGAAAAAAAAGAAATCTACCTGTGGCACATGTTTTTTGCGTGCAAAAACCAAAAAAGAAAGAGAAGATGGCCCAGTCCAGCGCCGGGATGTGCGTCCCTTTGCGAGAAAGGAAAGAACGGACGCTTAAGCGCGAGTAAAATGCATGAACCGTCCCTCAAGTTGCTGGCAAGGTCCAAGATGGTCCTTAAACTCCGAAACTGCTCCAATACAGTCCCTAAACTCTTGAATACGGCGTCAATACGGTCCTTGAACTCGTGCAACCATTCCTGGGCTATGTATAAACATACGGCTCACGTACGCCGCGTCGTCCATGTCCGCCATGTCACCATAGAGGGCCTGTGGTCAGAAAAAGTTAGTCGTCTCCCTGGTCAAAATCCCCGAACACAGCCTGAATCCTTAACTTCCCAGATCGCTCTCCGCCAGACCACACTTCAGACAGTTCGGTCGACGGGGACCGCGATGGCGGCAACCTTGGCGCCTCTCCCCCTCCCGTCGCCGGTGGCATCACAGTCGCTCCTCTCCCTCCCGTTTCAGCCGTGGCATCCCAGTCGCGCCTCCCCTTCCCGTTGCCGCCGATGGCTCCGCCCGCAGCTTGTTTGAGCGTCTTTTGGATGTTAAGTAATCTCAACTATGCACTAGTATTATGTTAATGAAGTGAACTATCCTTGTGTTCTAATGGAAGTGAACTATTCTTTGTTCCAATGTTTGTGAACTATCCTTTGTTCTAATGGAAGTGAGATCAACGTGTATCTGCATTTGACTGAATATATGAAGTGAGACCAAAAGTTATCACTGAATGTATCTGCATTTTGATAGATTATGCATGTGTAGTGAGAAAAACAAATGAGACCAAGAAATATGACTGAATGTATGATTGAAAATGTGCATGTACAGTTTGGCCAACAAATATTCCACTGATTTCTGACAGAAATGTATACATATATTCCAATGTGCCTGTTCAGTGCTAGAGCATAACTGAATTTTGACAAAACACATATATGAAGTGAACTTTATCACTGAATTCTAGCCAGCACAGCAGTAATTTTATGCAATGTATGAATTGAACACACATAGATTATAACTGAACCTTTGCCAATACAGCAGCACTTTTTCACAAACATATATGAAGTGAACTCACACATAGATCATAACTGAACTCTTGCCCGTACGGAACATGATAAGTTCTGAACATAAACAGTATAGACGATGCTCTCTGTTTCTTCATCATTGTCGTCTCCATTTGAACAACCGTACGCCGGCGCCGCCACCTCATCAAGCCACCTATCGTGGCACCCATCGGCGGATGCGGCTGCGAGCCCTTTCTTTCCTCCGCCGTCCCTGGAGCGTTCACGTGTTAGACCTGTCGGCGATCATCAGGCCGCCGCCATTGTCCCGGGGGCGATAGCTTCTGTTTCACGAGATGATCAGGTGGGAGCGGAAGCGGATGAGTCACAGAATCATGATCTTGGGGGGCCGAATGCACACACACCACGACCTCGCATCAGTTGCCCGCGATGAACGCTGACGTGGTGGAGGCGCCGTACACAAAACATAAGCGCATACGTATCCCGGGCCCGGTTCCACGAGTTTAAGGATTGTATTGACTTAGTATTCGCAAGTTTAAGGACCGTACTGGAGCAGTTTCAGAGTTTAAGGACCGTTTTGGACCTTGCCACCAACTTCAAGGACGGTTCATGCATTTTACTCCTTAAGCGCCGTTTAGGATTTGCCCGTTTTCTCGGCACGAGTGCCGGCCCGGCACGGCCCGCGTATTCTTGGGTTGTCCATGCCGTGCCGTGCCGGCCTGCCAGGTCTGCTGCAGACGGAAGAACGAAGTCCCCTCCCAAAACCCTTGCTTGCTATTCCATACGCCACAAGAGCCATGAGCGCCGCCAGCTCGGACTCCGCTGAAATCGCCACTGCCTCCAAACGCCCGTTCGATCCCTACCTTGCCGACCCGTCGCCGCCTTCCAAACTCCAGCGGTTCTCCCAGTCAAACATCTCGCCGGCGGACGCAGACAGCGGCGGAGAGGCGGGCGCCGAAAGCGAGGCGATGGCCGGCGCGCGGCTCTCCCGGACGCAGCGATACCTGGTCGCCGTGGAGTACGATGGCACCCGCTTCTCTGGTTCCCAGCAGCAGCCGAACCAGCGCACCGTCGTAGGCGTCCTCAAGGTAAAATTCTCATAATTTGAGTTGGGAAATCATAACGATAACCTAAATTCATGTCGTTAGAGATGCTTACCATGAGATATTCGGGTGGCACATCTGTACATGACTCTAGGCGTAACTTGAAACATTTGTTAGGTCTTTGTGGGAGATATCCCTTAGGTTGTGGGCAAATGCTGTAGCATAAGGTGAATCCTCTGTCACGAGTGAGTATACGTAGTAAATGTGGAGGTTGTATTAGTCTCGGAAAGCACACTGAGTTAGATCGAACCAGGGATTTCAGAGCGAACGAATTGTTTGTACGCAAACCTGTTCCAGACGCTCACTCTGTACCCGAATGAGCCCACGCCGCTGTTCCCACACAAATGCTGCCGCCGCCGCGAGAAGGGAGAGGAGGGTGGGATTTTTTTGCCAGATCACGAACCACCGCTGCTCCCTACTCGATTTGCCGCCGAGGATAGCCTTGCTCTGGATATCTTTGTCATACCCTGAGAAGGATTCGTGAAGTAGGTGAGATGGAGAGCGGAAGAAGATCATCTACGCTAAGCCAGCACCGCATATAAAGGGGTTTGAAATTACAAGCGACTGAGCTGTAAACAGTAGCTCGGTATTAAAGTGAATGAAAGTAAACTGTTTTAACGGTAACTCCTGGATGAATGGGAGCTGTTAACCTTGACTTAAGCCGCTGCCGATATCTGAGCTGTCCATTAACTGAACCTTCAGTGTTCCTCATTGTTGTGTAGGTTCAGAGATACGCTGGGCCTGACAGATATGTTGTTTGAACTTCCTGTTTTTCTTTTTCAACGGCAATCTCATATAAGTACATCAAAATGTATATGTTTATAGAGGGACACATAATATATTCCTTATTTTACTTGCGTATAGATTTGTCACATTTTGATGGATTAGTATCTGCATAAGTATCGGTACATACATTAGACAGTACTCCCTCCTATCCAAAATAAGTGTCGCAGTTTTGAACTAAAGTTGGATCGGTGGGAGTAGTATACAGTAAACAGTAGTATGGCTGCTCTGGTGTATGTCCTTATTGAGACCTTTGTTTGAATACACAAGGCTGGAAGCTATAGAGGTAGAACTGGAGATACATGGGGTAAACTGTGCATAGGATGAATAGTTGGACTCCAAATGTAACAGTAGGAAAATTCTATGACACTTGAACTGTTTTATTTATTTATTTTGGTTATGCCTTAAGTTTTTTATATTAAAAGATATTTTCTTGTGGAAGAATGGATATTACAGCCTTGCATGAAAATTAGCAAATTTACAGCCTTGAATGTAATTCATGGTTCATCCTATTGTATCAGAAATAAGGGTGCATAAATTCATATATATACATGATAGTAATGGGCGGCATGGGGTAAACTGATACTGGACAGGCCACAATAGCCAAGACAAACTATATAGTATATATGTATCTCACACCCAACACTGAACATATGTACTAATTGGTCATTTGGGCCTACATTAGCAAGGACCAACTCATCAGTTGTCTTTCATACACCTCTAACATGCTGTTACAGCCGACATCTC